GATCACTGTAGCTCAAGTTATAGCCAAAATACGAAAATATATCAAAACTGTAAAAAATGCACAAAATGCAAGTTAAAAGTGATAAAACCTCATTTAATCACTTAAAAACATTTTTCACCAATTATAGCCAAAATGATTCATTTTCTTCCAATAATATAACCAAAGTGACTAAAAATGATATAAAATGTCATTCAATTATTACGTAAATTAGTCACTTATCACTTACACAACAAATACAGATTGTGAAATTAATTGTATAATTTGATATTTTGTAGGTTTTTTGGATATAATTTTCACGTTTAGGAAAAAGAAAATATGTTAGTAAGTAATAATGTGATACCCCTTGTCCCACGTTGGAAGTGGGAGGCGAAAAGGATTGATATATATAAGATTTGGTCTCATAAGTTACTAGTTATTTGGAATAACCATTTCGGGACAGTGAATTTCGACACAAAAAATTACTTAGGCCAACCATGGGCTTGGATGGTGACAAATAACTTACTAGAAGCTAGGTATATTTATGTTTATATGTCCTGAAAGCAGAGTAGTTCAGAATCTAGATAATGGTAACGATATGATGAAAATGAGAAGTTATATGGTAAACTTTATAGATTAATAATTTCATCAAGGCATCATATACAAGCATGATGACACAATCCCAACTTTCATTCTTTTGTTAAATCTTAGTGTTTTTGTCTTAGATTTTTTTCAAATAAAGGAAGGATGGAATTTAAGCAATAGAGGGGTGGAAGGGGAATTTGAATTCAAAATCTCTAATTTCTAAGTTTTTCACTAAGCAATCGTCAAAACCAAAAAATAAATAAATAAAAAGCAAAAAAATGAGGACCTTGTGGTCAATGCTCCTGTTCGAAGACATCATCTCCCTCTATTGAAATCTAAGTACCCTTGGTTGACAATTTGTTTCCCTGAGCATCCATCAACACTTTTATATAGTATTAGATTAGATTAGATTGTCAATGCACCATCAATATCCTTAAATATAAAAGCTAAAGTATAGTAATCAAAATACTGTTAGTAATCTGTATGATTATTTTTTATCCTTTAATGTTTTAGTTTTAGGAAGATCACAAATGCTGCGTATCAAGCATGCCCTAGGCTAAATTAAGGTAAATTAAGTACATTGCTAAAATGGAGAGCATTGCTAAATTAAGTACTTTAAGATAAAGACTTAAGCAGCCAGATCCATTTGATGTCAGCTGCTTCAATATCCACCTCAAAATAAATTAGCCTTTGTTCTAGATTTAGCTTAATGCTAAGTCCCTTCACCATTCTTAGTAATAATTCAATTCTGCCTCAATTTTCTTCTGATCTTCAAGGTAAATGTACAATAAATTTCAAAATATATCCCAAATATATGAATTTCTTGAAACCATCCTTCAATCTCATTACCTACTCAACAAAATGTTCCATAAACACAAATATATTAATGAATTTGGAGTTGATTCGAAGAATTGACGAGAACAACAGGGCTCCTTAGATTTAACAATTTCAAATAACCCCAAGCTAGAATTTTTCATATATTCAAACAAGAAATTGGAAAAATCTGACTAGCTTGCAACGAGTACTACATCTCAAGACAAGGGATCTTTTCAGTCAACTCTTTTATTGTATCGAAAACCTACTTGCATCTATGAATAAGCAATGCTGAGTGATGATATTTTTAAGGGCAGTCCAATTCACTCAATACAAAAAATATTTTTAAATGATGATATTCACAGGAACGTCTATCTTACTTAAACAAACAATAAAAAGGAGATTGATTGAGAAATGGCCACATTATCTTATCATTCTTAATTATCATTAGTTCAATAATCAACTTTAGCAGTCCGGAGACTTGTTCAAGGCTGCAACTTGTACAAGGACAATAAATTCTTTATTCCTGCGTCCGGAGACTTGAGACGTGGACGCTTCATTAGTCAATAATAATAAAAGTGTGGAATTCGACGACTATTCTTAGCTCGTTCAAGGAAACAGAGAAAAGACGCTCTTGTACAAGCAACAGGCACAGCTACTTAAACTATTGGATAATTTCATAGACCTTTCCTGAAGTTTTGGACAATTTCAGCTAGTACCCCTCTTATTTTCAATATTACGCTGACCACTCTTACTTTAACTAGTGTTGTGACCAATTCAGCCCATATAGAAAGAAATGGAATAAATTGACAAGAAATGGTATCATCACATTTTATTCCACATTTACCCTTGTAGACCCTAAAAGAAATATTGTAACATAGGACAAACTTCACTTTGTCCTCCGAAGTTGAATCACTTTTCTATTCTATACACTGAACTTCAATTTTGGATGCTTTGCATGTGGTTGGAGGCAAAAGCATAGCAGAGCCCTTTTTGAGTCTCTGATCGTTATTATCACATGACCATTGCTAATTATACTATTGCTTTTGAATGGAAATAGCATAAAAGTCTTAGTGAATGAACAAATTGAATAGACCATTTCGCAGAGCAGTGAAATAGTCCAAAGCTGTGAAGCACAGTGATAAGCTACAAATTATAGTGGTTTGTATTTATTAATTGTCAATGAATGGTTGTATTTGAGCTATAATTTGAATGGATGTTGCCTAATTTAAGTATATGTTGGTTTTTGTGGGAAAAGCACGCGATTGAGGAGGAAATGAATCGAAAACGCAACAAAAGGGGAAGAATGCCAAGACACAAGGATCCGTGGGTGGATCCTATGTCCAACGCCAAACATTGAAAGGGACTTTGCGAGGACTTCTTCTAGTTCTAATGATTGGAAAACCCACTCAAACTCGATTTTGGTAAGTTTTCAAGACCCATTCTTACCATATTTCGGATACAACTTTGAGAGACTATAAATAGGACATTCTAGGATGTTTTTAGATTAGAAAGCATTTGGCTAACGTTAGTTCATCATTTTTATACCTTCTTTTCTTGAGAGATCACAATGGAAGTGTTGAAGAATCAAAGGAAGTTCAAGATGGAGATTGAAGCGGGGAAAAATTGAGAAGTTTTCTTACTTTTAACTTCTTATTTTGTCTTTCATTTGAATTCTTGGATTTATCTATGAATATGTTGAACTCATTTATATCTAAAGTTAGGATTTTGTGAAGGAGATTTAATTAGATAAATTATTTGCTTTTGCTTAGATTTATTTATCTTGCCTTTATTACATGTTTATGTTTTGCCACTATAGATATGCTTTTAGGATTTGTATTGAGTTAAGAAGTGATGTACAACCGTACATTAGATAGATAAACATACTTAATATAATCATGAAAGTGGGTTAAACATTGTATGGCATAATTATATCACCTAATATTGTAAAGGATTTAATTATATACTTATGATCTCGAGAGCAACGTGAGATTTCATTAGACAAATTTAGAAGTATTGAGAGATAATCTAAAGTACTTTTCCGTGATACATCTTTGACTTGTTAAGAAAATAATTGGATATATAATTCCAATTCGAAATCAAAATTTAAAACTCTAGTTTTGCTAATGTTTTCTCACCTATATCTTGTTTGATTTGATTATTTATTTAATTAGTGATTAAAAACCCTCTGAATTTAAATTTTGTTATTTTTATTAGAGGAATTAAAGTAGGAAAAATTAACTCACTCCTGCAGGTTCGACCCCTGGAGTACTCCAAGCAAATTATTATTACGATCGACCTTGTACAGTTATAGAAATTCATCGATCACACAGCAACCAAAAAAAATTAATGCACAATAATGTCATGAGCAGAAACAGTTCCCATCTTAGTTGTTCAACATTCACGGTGGATTTCAATTAGTGGTCAACAGATAAAAGCATCCAAAAAAGTAATCTAACTAGATAAGTGAATTTATATTGTACAACATATTTCTTTTTTCTACCGCAAAAACTTAACTAATTTAAGACAATGTAGTCCAAGATAATTGAAGATTAATTTTCCCTAAAAAATGTTCATGATAAAAACTCATCAAAGAGATAATACAACAGCTTACTTTTGCAGGTGATCTTATACGGTCTTTATTAACAAACTAATTAGCCACTTAAGCCTTTTTTTTCCTTTTGGGACTACGCATGACAAAATGAGGAGTGAATCAGTCGCTTAGTATCTAAAATTTTCCCTCCATATAATTAGTTCAACCTGATTTAAGACTAAATTTTTACTATAGGAATGTTCGTGATTCAACAATGAAACACCATAGAAACTTATTTTGGGAGATTGTCCTAGAAGGTAAAAAATGAGCAACCAATCAGAAAGTCGTACTCACATATCAAAATCCATTCAGTCTAATTAATTCACCAGCTATGTATATTTCATCCATTTTCACATTATAGAAAGAACAATAATGCATGGCATTATCCATCATAAATTGCTCATATAACATCAAGATATTCATGGTGTGGACCTCAAATGACTCGTCATGTCTACTGGCTACATTTAAACATATCTTATGGCCAGAATGTTCATCTTATCAACTTGACGAGTTTATTCATGGTACCATACCATTAAATTAAAAAATTTTCCACCTTTTACCTTTCATAGATATCAGGGAATATAGCTAATAACGCACTTTTGGCAGCAATATTCCTTCAACCAATTAAAGATTTTCGGAGCTTAAAGTTCAGCTCCTAAAGCTCTTCTCCACCAACCAACAGAGAAATTACTTTTAGCAAAGTTGTTAAATTTTGGCACCAGGTTTTGATGGTATCTTGGTAAGATTGGAAGATTATATTGCGCTTCTAAGATAATTTTTAAAAAAGATATTTTAGTGAGAGCATTATGGTCAATTTGCCCCTAATGATATTGACATTAGGTCCCATCAACATCAGAAGGGAGCTCATTGTATTATTGGATATAACAAGGGTGCGAGTGAAATTATGAAAACCCTCAAGGGAGGATTTTGAAATTAACCCTAAAATACTCATTCCACGCAAGGCGTGGCGTTCCCCTCCTAGTTCCTATAAATAGGGCACCAACTCAATGCACTAGTCACTCGATATCAATAATTTAGCACATTATTTACATTTTGAGTGAGATTGTGATAAAATGGCATCTTCAAAAAATTTGCCCTTTCTTATTGGCGTTCTCTTTGCACTTGTGCTCCTCATTTCCTCTGATGCAACAGCTGCAGGTACCTAGTCCCTTTTTTTTTCCTTTCATCCTTTTTTTTTTTGCTGCACCTAAATATTTAAATGAATGGAGATTTGGAGACTCATTATTGGGATGTGAATTTTTATGGAAGGCTATTTGTATATTATCAAGCAAGTCATATTAATGTGCTAATATCCTTTTCATTGTTTAGCAAAAGTAAAATTGGGTTGCTTCTATCAATGGTTAGTGGCACATCTGATTTTTCATGCATCCTTATAGTATTGCTGTAAGGATACACGTTCCATAGTGTCGCACCAAAGCTTAAACTAACGTCGAAACCAAATTAAATGCTTCTAATTATAATTTAAAGCAAAATAATTCATATCCAAGTCGCACCATCTTATATGCCTGGACTGTTTTGTTTAATCCATAGTATTCTTTTCTTTGCATATATCTTGCAAATTTTCAGCCTAGCCGGTCACCTAACGTTCGCAGCTTAAGATAAAGCTCCAAATATTTATGTCTCCTTGTGTCTTGAAACAGATCAGAAAAGCGTGAAAACCACTGGTGTCCACGATTCCAGTTCAGGCGAAGATCGTTGCACATATGGTTGCTGCCACTGGTACAATGGACATTGCCAAAGATGCTGTCCACCTGCTGAGGAGACTTGCAGATATGGTTGCTGCTACTGGTACAATGGACATTGCCAAAGATGCTGTCCACCTGCTGAGGAGACTTGCAGACATGGTTGCTGCTACTGGTACAATGGACATTGCCAAAGATGCTGTTAACCTACTGAAGCTACATCCGGAGATGAGGTCAAAAATTAATGCTAAATAAATAAGGGTGTGAGACAGGATCCGTGACACCTATATTATTACGTTAATATGTTATGTTGTGTTTGCGTTTGATGGTTGATTTCCTATATGTGTAAAAGACTTGTGCGGCTTCTCTTTGAATTGGTGTAGAATCAACAGGGGAAGCATGTAATGAGTACTCAGTTCGAGTGCTCTTCTTATGTTGTTGTCATGTTGAATAAATAAATCTACGTGATCATCTACTACAATTGATGATCTCTATCTCAGTTACGTCAGAAACTTCTGTACCTTGGACCTGCTAGAATTTAGCGTGATTGATATAAGACGTGCAGAATGTTCAATATATGTATATATGTGCTTCTTCATCGTGCCATGCCATTACAATGTGAAAGAATTCAGCATCGACGGAGTGAAACGTACCCAATCCTGCTCCTGAGAAAGGAAACAAAGTCCCTCAAAAATGGATATTTTGGATGCCATCAAGATTTTGAATTGAATGCCATTTGGAGATCTGAATGTTGTTTTTTTCCCCTTTATCTTCGTTCAAGATTTTTTTTGGTGGAAATGCTTCATTTATGGACAATGCTACAGTGCCTATAGTTATGGTAACGATATTAGAGAAACCTACTATTACAGGTTTCTATTACCTTTAGTGACAGATCCAATTTTTAGCGACTTTTGAAATATTATATTAAAATAATTAATATTAAATTTAGTAAGTTTTTAATTAAAACTAGTAAGTTTATGCCTGAAAGATAAGTTTTAGTCAGAAATAGAAATTTACACTTTGAGTAATTTAATTTACTTATTATTTGACGAAAATTACTTATTTTTGAATTAAACTTACTAATACTGCAAGTAAAAAATGTTCATATTTAAGTAAAAAAGTTACCAGTTTCTAAAAATGGTTTTGGGTTCCTGAACCACTTTCGGATATTATCTTGTTAAAGTCATCTCCCTTCTTATTACTTAGTTCTCAGTTTCAACATACGATTGAATTCCCAGGCAAAGGTTTCCACTTTGGTCCACACTTTCTCTTGGTGACAAGTGAATAAATTTTCCCACTTCAAATTTTCATCTTCAGTTCCCACTTTCCCTCTATCCTTTCTCATCGATCGGTTGTTTTTGGGTGCTGCCATATGCAGACACAATAAAAGGGTTAGCGACGGTGGTAGCCAACCAAAGAGCATATGAAAAATAGCAGTGACGAGGTTAGCCTATCATGTCCTCTTGAAATCGTTTGATTATATTGCTGTAATTTATTTATATTTCATTTGTTTTGTTTGTCAAGATTTTCTTGCGAAATCAAGGCTGAGAATTTGAAGATTTTATTGCAATTTTGGGGCTGAAAATGTCCACTGAAACATCTAGCCTTGATTTGGTTGTAGTTTTGATTGTCTGCTGGTAAAATATACTTAATAGCCATATGAAGCATCTAGGAAAGGACTTGAGACTAGGTGTTTAAGTTAAATGTGATTAATTTATGAATGCATATAAGATGTTTGGTGAAATGTCAAAGAGAAATCTGTGTGTTATGATTGCTGCTCTGTGCTCTTCAGCAGCCAGAGATGAGACCAGCTCTTAAAGAAATCACCCTCGTCAGTCGACAACAGCGCTCAAGATCACCCTTGGGATTGTAAATTGTATAATCTTTTATACAATAGATTATAAGATGTATAATCTATTGTATAATTTAAATTAAATTTAGTTCACCTATAAAATGGTCCTAAAATAATTAGTACACTATGATAAATGTTATTTTAACAACAAAATATTTTTTTTTACTAAAAGTCGGAAATATCCATGACATATGTATGAGAGATATTTTACCATATTTATATCTCACATCTAATCATGAAAGTTAATTTGAGAAAAACTATTTTTAACAATAGAATTATTTTGAATTTAACCAACAAGTTGAGATTTTTTAAACAATAAAGTGAAATATTTTGGGAACTTTTTTTTTTTTTTTTTTTTTTTACATAAATATGGTCTTTATTGGCAAAGAAAAGAGAAATTACATAGATCGTGTGACTAACCTACCCTGAGACCGTACAGACTCTCACATACGGAGTTGACAACCTATCTAACTGCAAAAGAGCCCGAACTTAGAAGGGAGAGCTCTTTCACTGAAAAATCGGGCATCCGTTCGTAGGTCCGAGGAGGCCAAAGCGTCGGCGACCGCATTAGCCTCTCTGAACGTGTGAACCAGAGACACCCCAATTTTGCCACCAAGCACCGAATATGCCTAATTGTGTTGCATAACGGCCAGCCAGCCGTCATCTTAACGGACACGAGATGCACTAAAGTACTAGAATCCACTTCTGCTATGACTCCCGTGAGATTGTTGTCCTGGCAATACCGAAGACCCTCCAGCAAAGCCAACGCCTCTGAGGAGAGAACGTCTTGCTCTCCAAACTCCTTATAAAAGGCAAACACTAAATTACCCTCACCCGAGCGCACCACCCCTCCACCACTTGACCGCCGCTTACCACACTAGCATCAGTGTTGAGTTTCACCGCTTGCCCTGTAGGTTTTACCCAAGAAAAGGCTCGAAGCTGTATCAATTTGTTCTTGGCCTTACCGAATTTCACCCAGTCGCAATCTGTGTCCCCTTTGAAGAACTCCAACTTGAACAGGCCCCCCCTACCCAACTGCTCAACCAATGCGCACACCTGGTTGGTTACCTGATCTGACGACATACTCATCCCTCAAAGCGGGCCTTGTTACGGCCCTTCCAAATAAACCACAAGATCAAGAGCGGGAGGATGACACGAATATGATTCTGTGAGACAAACCGGTGAGAAAAGAGCCAACATGAAAGCCTCGATGCCACCCCACTCCTGGAGTACCAGCCCAAAGCGCAGGAGAAGTGCCGCCAAACCCTGCTCGCTAAAGGGCCCGAGAAAAAAGATGGTCTCCTGTTTCTGGCGCTAGGCCACAACAGTAGCACTTTGACGCTAACCTCACCCTCTACCTTGAAGGAGATCATCCAAGGGGAGCCAACCACGCAACAACCTCCACACAAAGAAGGATACCTTCAGAGGACCACCGAGCTCCAGACCAGCGAATCAATAACAGATCGATTACGCTTTGACCGAAGAACGTCCCAAGCTGAAGACACAGTAAAGCTCCCCGAAGGTGACGCCGCCCAAATCATTTGGTCTTGCATATTGGGAAAAATACGCAGCTCCAAGATCTTCGACACTAAGTGCCCCGGAAGCAGCCTTCTGAGCCACTGCTCATCCCAACCATCAGAAAGAAAAAATTCCCCTACCAACCTGTGAGACTTAGGGCCTGGCACCAACCTGGCGAGCGGAACATCAGTACACCACCTATCCTGCCAAAAGTCAACTAAGCCCTCCCAGACACCACCGGATATTCCCCTCCGTGAGGTCCCTCACCTCTATCAAACGGCGCCAAATTGGGGACGGGCGGTCAACTGAAACTAGAAGAGGATGCCCCCTCTGACATACTTAACGTGCATGAACTCTGCCCAAATGGATGCCCGTTCCCTCAACTTCCACCAAAGCTTACATGAGAAAGCCTTAGCGACATCCTCAAATGGGCGAAACCCCAGGCCCCTTCCTCGACCGGACGGCACACCTTATCCCAAGCCGCCCAGTGGATCCGTTTGCTTTCAATAGAGGTATCCACAAGAAAGCATTGCACAGACGCCTAACTGCAGCAGCACAGCCTTCGGCGGTTGAGTACCTGGAGTAAGTAGACCGGAAGGGAACACAGGACACTTCGTAAAAGGACAATCTTCCCCCCATAGATAGCATCTTTGAGCTCCAATGGAATAACTTTTGGCGAACCTTGCCAGCAACGCATCAAACACTGCACATGTGACCCTACGCGAATCATCGGCACCCCTAGATACCTGAACGGAAAAACCTGGCACTGGTACCCCAGGGTCGTGCTTACCAGGGCCCGCTGGGTGTCTGTAGCCCTAGCCGAAGCGTAAAAAGCACTCTTTAGCAATATTCACCTTCTGACCAGAACAACTTTGGTAGAGCTGCAAAAAATCCTTAATGGACACCAACGCATCCTGCGAGCACCGAGTAAAGATGACCATATCATCCGCAAAGGCTAAATACGGCACTTTCGACCCAGCAGAAACGAAGTATCTACTGTCCTTGGAATCAAAAATCCTTTGCAGCCCTCTCCCAAGAAAATCCGCCACGAATAAGAAAAGCGCAGGAGAAGAGGGTCACCCTGTCGCACCCCTTGAAATGACTTCACAAAACCCGTTGGTTCCCCATTAACTAGGATCGAGAACCAAGTGTTAGAAAACGTTCGAAAGAGCAAATCCACTACTACCTCTTCAAACCCATACTGCCTAAGCAGAAAAAGTAGAAAGGACCAATCAACCCGATCATATGCCTTCTCCATGTCCAGCTTCAAGATCAAATTCGGGTCAATCAACCTCCTATCCAAGTCTAAAATCAGCTCCTGTGCCAAAAGAACATTGTCCACTATCCACGCCCGGAACAAAACCTGTTTGCCATGGTGAAATGAGCTTCGGGAGGAGCTTGCTGATCCTGATGGCCAATATCTTAGACACAACCTTAGAGGTTACATTACAAAGACTAATAGGCCGAAAATCCGCCAGTGGGATGCCCTCCACTTTTGGATGAGCACCACCATAGAGTGGGACCAGCTCCTGGGTTGCTCCATACCCTGGAAGAAGTCCTGGATAGCCATAAGCAAGTCATCCTTGACAATGTCCCAGCAGCTTTGGAAAAAACCTGCTCCAAACCCATCCGGACCCGGAGCACTCTGTATCTCCATTCCAAACACTACCTCATGGATTTCCTCCATCGTAGGAAGACGTTTCATAATCTCATTATCCTCCTGGTGGCTCTAGGAACCTCAAAAGGAAGCTCAGTGAGGGCCTGTACCTGACGGTTGGATGCGAACAAGTCCGAAAAAAAGGATATCGCTGAGTCCTTAATCTCCTGCAGGTCTTCATGCATCCCCCCTCCTCTTTCCTAATACGGGAAATGAAATTCGAGTTCCGACGCTAGCGGACCCAAGAATGAAAAAATGCAGTATTAGCATCCCCGCCTGTAACCATTTAATACCTGCCTTCTGATGCCAAAACTCACACTCCATGGAAAGGGCCCGATTGTATCTCGCTCTGGCCTCATGAAGATGAATCTTCGACTCCTCACTTCTAACCAAATCGTACTCCACCTCCCTCTGTTTTACCTCCTGATCCGCCTCTGCCACCTGAGAAGAGACATTGCAAAGACCACA